CCACTGGGCCCTTCCTGATCACCCCATTCGGTTGTTTTCACAACTTATCACGAGTCAGTTCCTGCTCATGACAGAGTTACTTCATCAACAACTTTATCATCGTGATTTGTGGTGAAAAACAAGTAGCAAACAGGATTTTTCTACAGGGGATATAAAGACAGTATTCCACTTTTTCGTGTCTTTACTGGTCGTCCAGGAGGAGACCCACTCGCTCTTTAACTTTACTTTTTTCATTGTTGTAGTATGATAACGGTTGTCTAAAGCCGCAGATAACGCTCCGATAGTTATTACTAGGATGCTGATTGAACACCCTCTTCCCCTATGGGATCTCCCAGCCTCAGTTTTCTATTCGTAGATCCGCTCCCGGGACTTCTTCCCAAGCAGATAGGACTAAGGCAACCGGGCCAGCTTTAGAGCCGGTCAAGGTATGATGGATCAGTTCCCAAGTAGTCATCGCTCCCGCGCATGCTCTTTTGTCCGGGGGGGGGGGCGTGAAGTTACTCTTACCCGGACACAGGTGTTGGGGGTCCTTGATCGTCCCGATCGCAATCTTCCGATCAATCTCAATCCACCGTTTCCGTTTTTCCATGAATTTACCTTCTCTTTATATGACTACCCTTTTCAGAGATTTTAAACCTTGATTTTTTATCCTCAGATCAGCACTTTCGTACTTGCCGACTTTCCTACTGAAACTGTCCCCTTTTCAGTTAAACCTATCCACTCGTACAGAATCATCATGACTGCAGAAAGCGGATTCATGTCATCCGACAGCGATAGCGAGTTTGCAGATCTGAAGGTATGCCTTACTAGTTGGTAGCGTAGCTCCATAGAAGTTCGGTTACTAAACCCATTAACAGTACATTACTGTTTGAAAGGTTCAGCTGATCATTTTAAGATTGCTGAAGACTTCAAGAAGTCATCAAACTTGGATAAAATGACCGCTGCCTACTCATCAATCATCTCCCATGTTGGTGAGGATGTGCAACGGCAAGGACTTTTAAAAACACCTGATAGGGCTGCCAAAGCGATGTTGTTCTTCACAAAGGGCTACGAACAACAGTTAGATGGTAAGTTAAATTCCGGAGTATTTGTGCTCTATACATGTCACTTCACGAGGCCAAGTCACGTTCAGGATAGGCGGGCATGGGCCAAATGCACAGTGCACACTTATTTATACTTAGCCCCTCCCACAAGGGGCGGGCTGTACGTCATCGTGTGACAACCAAGGGGAAAAACATTTTCTCAAAGCAACCTTAAAGATATGTGGTCGCTAGAAGGACGATTTCCTCCCATATGTGGACATCTCCGAGAGGTTTTTGGCGGTTCTAAAGTCCCATGCGAGATCCCCTCCTAAGCCAAACAGTGTCGCTTCTCCTGCTAATTTTTGTAAAACTTTATGATAGACTTAAAGGAGTTGCTTCAGAAAAAAATTGGCCCATCCTTTTCAGAAATTCTCAATGATGCTGTATTCGATGAGGATCACGATGAAATGGTCATAGTGAGGGATATTGAAATGTTTTCCCTCTGTGAACATCACTTGGTGCCCTTTAATGGAAAGGTACGTTTCCTGGTCAAGCACTGCTATCGCAACTCTTTTAACTGGCTTTTTTCAGGTACACATCGGGTACATTCCGAACAAAAAAGTCCTGGGCCTTTCAAAACTGGCTCGAATCGTCGAAATGTTCAGTCGACGACTTCAAGGTGACTTCAGCTTGAAACCTTTTCCTTTCTCCTCTCACGTGTACTGTAGAGAAAAGTCATAGTACTATCACATCCTACTTAGCAGTTTCTTAACATATTTTCATCGTTTCAGTGCAGGAACGGCTAACAAAACAAATAGCGACAGCAATGGTACAAGCAGTTCAGCCTGCTGGTGTCGCCGTCGTAATCGAGGCTAGGTAAGCCAGTTCAATTTTCCCCAGATCTTCTCCCAGAGCCGATCAAAGCCACCACAGCCCTTAGCTGGCCCGTTCTAACTATGTAGCTAGCTCCGGACTGAGCGTACTAGGCGCAAGCTTCATCTATTTGGTGTCCGTGCGTCGACCAATTTCTGGCAGGCTCACTGGGATAGTCGTTTTGGCCTCGGCCTTTCTCGGCTCTTTTCAGTGACCTGGGATCTAGACATATCGTTCAGTTAGAGACAATTTTGGTCTTTTGACTCCAAGATTAGCCCCCACCCGCCCCCAGGTGAAGGCAATTCTACTATTTGTGGTACTGGATCGGGAGCGTCTACATCAACCCCCCCTTTCCTGCTCGACGGCTAAGCTTTGGGAAGGTCGCTAAGATGAGAGATGAATGGGTTATATGCATGACGAAGAGGACTGTTGAAACGGAGGAGGGGAAGGCGATTATGTGCTTCTCTCTTCCGCCTAAATCACCAGTAGAGCAGTGTTTTTCAAAGAGCAGGGGTCCAGCGAGGAGCATGCCTCTACCGAAGGCAAAGTCCTCTTATCGTAGATGAGAAGCTGGGCCCCCTATCGCACCTTCCTTCTATGACGGTAAAGAGGAACGCCAGTGGAACAATTGTGGGCCCGATTCCACCCTTGCCGTCTGAGTGGGCTGAGCTTTTATTGAGGACCATTAGTTCCAGGGCCCTTTTAGAGTCAGCCATCTCTTCTTGGTAGTTGTTAATTTTCTCTATTCAGCCACATGTGCATGGTTATGCGTGGAGTTCAAAAGATCAACGCTACCACGTCTACATCCTGCATGCTTGGAGCGTTCAAGTGAGTTCTCGTTTCGATTTTCATAGCGGAATAGGGGCGGAGATAAATGAGGGGGACCAACGGCGAAGTGTCTATGCCACGTCACGTCTGCCTGTCTGCGTCCTCTCACCAAGAGGGCGTATTCCATTCTTTGAAAGACGTGATAAGGCAGAGCGACTCGCTTTCCCTTTTGCTCCCAAAAATTAATGCTACAAAGTTTCAAATGAATTTTTTTCTTCCAGGGACGATCCAAAGACGAGAGAAGAGTTTTTGAATCTCATCAACAAACGATAGATGAAAAATGGCCTACATAGCTACGAGGATCCAGTGGCATGAATAATGTCCCTGTTGATGTAATGTGTTTTAGACCTGAATTTCACTTCGCTAGTCGACTTTTCTCTCTCATTTTCTGATGAATCCATTGAATTCACGGGTCACTGACTATGTTGCTCGTTCTGACGATGAATCTGTCAAGCTGACATTACGAATTGATTCCAGCCGCTTATTTCAATTGTGTTGGTCGAATACATTGAATTTTTCGAAATCAATAAAAATTCGACACCAATTTGTTCGATGAGGGCAGAGGAGGTGCATCAGCAGGTGGAGCTGGAGATTCTTCTTACTGTATCCTCCAAAACGGTTACTATCACAAAAGCCAGTCAGGGTGGAGAGTGGCGGGAGGGTCGTTGCGTTAACGAATGGAAGAAGAGGGCAGGTCTGTCGTGAGGGTCCCTGCCTCCGAAAACGCCTAGTTGTTGATCCTCTCGCTCTTTTCCTCGCGCTCGGCAGCAGTTTGGTGGGAAAACTGTGGATTCTGCTAAGAAAAGTGGTAGGAAGTAGGGAAAACTAATGGTGAAAGGAATGTGGGTTGGAGTGGGGTCGGTATCGAGGGGTGAATGAGTAGCAAGGGCTTTGGCACGGCACCAGCATCCTCTCCATCACTCGTTACCGCTTCAGGCGTTCAGTTAGTGTTTGGAAAGCAGGGCACGCCGTACGCTGGAGATCCCCAGCGAGCAAAGAGGTCGCACTCGATCCCTGAGGGAGAGAGGGTCGTATTTGGCTCTGAGAAAACCTTATTGACAAATCTTCACAGTTGTTCATTCTTTTCGCTTCACGGGTCCCCTGTCTTCCTCGCTACCACTCGAAGGCAGTTTTCGGAGGGAAGCTGGTGGATATTCGGTGAAAAAACTCCAGGGTAGGATGCTGGGAAAATTCAGGCTGATGGTAGTTAGGAATGAAGGAGGAGTCCTAATATTGAGGGACGGTTTCTGTTCCACAAAGACCCCCCCCCGCGGCAGGACATGCACTGTAATCTGATCCTTACATCCTTCCGACATTATCACTGGACTTAGTCGGGGCGTGTCAACCGCGCATAGGTTTCGGAGCAGCGCCAGCCTGCCTTTCATTGACCGCTGAGGCTTCGGGGATTCAATGAGTGGTGGGAAAGAGAGCACGCGCGTCGTACTGGTCGTGAATGTCTTTGTGAGAAGCAAATGCCTTCCTTGCCGACCTTTCTCGGTTTTTCCTGTTGTACGGTATCCGCCCCACCGCACCCCTCTCTCGGCACTTTTTGGATGTAAGGCCAACAGGAGATCTTCTCCGGGAAAGTGGCAGAAAGTTGAGGAGAAGTAAAGGATATGGTAAGTACGATGGGGATGGGAAAATGGGGTCGCACTGCAAGAACTTTCAAGGGTAGTGGGGCTTCGATAAGTTTTGAATATGGGTGGTGTTTCCCCAGCGGCATGATGTGCCCTATTAGAAGGGGCTGGCGTCGCGCCAAAGCCCACGCCCCGACTGCCCTTCAGTGATAACAACTCTGTAGCTATTGGGGGAGGCAAACCTATGGGTATTTGTGTTCAATGAATAGTACAAGCAGAGAAACATTTAAACTCTGTACACGACAAATTATGAAAAATGAGTCAACGATAGAATGAAAAATATGTGAAAAAAAGGGAACTATCGAATCTGTCTATACTAGAGGGACTGCACGTGGATTGTAGTTTAAACTTCTTTCTGGGTAAGTTTACTGTATTCGTTGATCTCGACACGGTCGATGTGAGAAATGATCTGAAAGAGTTTGATGGATGTAGAAATTTGAAAATTGAGAAAAAGCGCGCTCTGAGTCAGAATTCTTACCCTCGTCGTGAAATCGTAATCAGCTGGCGTTTCAAAGAAGTCACCGTCGGCATACATTTCCGTGTGGCGTACTTGGTTGAAATACTTTCAATTTCAGGATGAAATCCTGGAAAGGAACTTCAGAGTATTCAGGATCTTCCATATGCTTGTTAGTGGTTAAGACAACTAGTAAACATTTTTAACAAAAAACTTTATGAGTTAGTAGAGCGGCTCTGAATTTTCAGCGAGATGATTGGTGCCTACATATGTATACACACTCATTTAGCCACTGACTTTGAGGAAACCCATTCAGAGATATATCCCTAAAGGCCCAATCAGTCCATAGACAAATCCGGAACCTAAAAGTCGTGCCATTTTCGCCGATGATAAAAAGGGTAGGTGCCTGCCACCTAGGGTTGTCTGTGTCCTCCTGGGGCAAAAGACGCGCACAGAAATGTTTTGAACGGCTGGTTTTTTCGGTTTCCTTCGCTTTTCCATTGTTGACGGCGCAGCAAAACTACAAATGTTGTAGTCAGCCGGAAGTATCCGCACCCCCAGCGCAACCCGTCCGATGGCAAAATGTCGGGGAGAATTGGACAAGGGTATAGATACAGTCTTGTTCACCGCGGATGATGGGGCATGTGAAGGGGTGAAGGGTTTAGCGCGGCGCCAGCCCCTTTTTCCTCTTCGAAAAACTGCACCATATCGTTCATATCAATCGTTTTCCACCAGTTGTTGTGTCTTACCCCTCCAACAACTGGTGGAGAACAACTGATATGAACGATTTGGGCCGGCGGCGCGCCAAACCCAGCCTCACTAACACGCCCCATCTTCTGCAATGAACAGGACTGCAGGTCGTGAGCGCCGGCCCAGATCATCTGACTGGACGGTACTTACACCGCGATTCCACCTATCCCGGTGATGTACCCTGCTCAAACGAAGTGGAAGAAGGCCAAAATCCACTTCCTGT